ATATATAAAACATACTCAAACAAACAAGCAAACGAAAGAGAAACTGAGAGCGAAAGACACAAACAGGCAAATTTTATCCATTTGGAAAAAAAACCACTGTGGTGACTGGTTGTGACAATTTTATCACTGTTTTTTTTTTTTTTTTCAATTCCAATTCGTGGATGCGTTTTTGAGACTGCAGTCTTTAAACTGCAACCTTGAATCTTATGGTAAGAAGAGTCGAGACCAGCCACAACTTATAGTTTTAACAATAATACTCAGTGCTCATTGTCAATCAAATTTAGCCAAATTAAGTCGGTGCCAACAAGATATTTTTTGTTTGTTCCTGATTGCAGGAAAAGCTACTACCGAGCGTACGCTCCCAATCAAATTCTTTTGATTGAGTCGGAACTATGGAAAAGGAAAAAACTAACAGATTCGCACTATTCAACCAAATTCTACTGTTACCTTCAAACTCAAATTGGTTTGGTTTTCAAGATCGCGAGTCAAACTGGCCGTATTGTTCCAGACTGCTCGCTGTTACCTCTTTATGGACGAAAGTTGTGGCTGGTCTCGACTCAGGTCGATTGACAGTGTGCACTGGGCCAATGGCAAAGACACACATTTTAAACAGAACCAATCGAGATGGGCCAGACGGACGCGACAACTCCATAAACAACCAAAGAAAAGAAAATCGGTGAGTACGTTTTGAGCTAGAACCGCAACGCCTGCATGACGGTCCACTATGCCATCAACCCGGACCCAAAAAGAAAAAGAAAATCGTGGCGAAAAAGTCAAAGTTAAAGGGGTATCCTCGTACAGACAACGAGGATCTTTTTCTCTTTAAAAAAAAGGTGTTGCGACGTTGGTCTTTAAAGGCTGAAAGAGGAAGTCCACGAGACGGCTGGCCAGATGTAAGGGACGATGACGTCACAGCTCCTATCGCACTGAGATACCTATCGCGTTCTGGCGCCGTCCCAAAGGTAGGCGAGTGACCATGAAAATTCAAAGGCAAATTGCCTTTTCACGTGAGCTAGTCCATATACATCTGTTTACGCGAGCTGGTCAATATACATCACGAGAGAGTCAACCCAAAAAAACCTCCCCCCTCAAAACAAACATACAAACAGAAAAACCCAAACGCCCTGACCACCACACCCGACACTGCTCAAGACTTCAAGAATCCACTTCAACATCCCTCACATCTCTCTCTCTCTCTCTCTCTCTCTCTCTCTCTCTCTCTCTCTCTCTCTCT